GAGGAATATGAGGAGGAGGATATGGAGGAAGGCGAGGACGAGCAGGACGAAAATGAGGAAAAGGAAAAGGAGGAGGAGGATGAGGGGGAGGGGGAGGAGGGAGGAGGAAGAAAAATAGGAGGATGACCGTGGCGAGCTTGGGGGCCTCTTGGGCCGTCATTGGGGCCTCTTGGCGGTCCCGGGGGCCTCTTGCGTATATCGGGGAGCCTCTTGTGTCCTCTTGGGGGTCTCTTGGGGGCCTCTTGGAGGCCTCTTGGGGGCCTCTTAGGGCCTCTTGGGGCCCTCTTGGGGCCCTCTTGGGGCGCTCTTGGGAGCCTTCGGGGCGCTCTTGGGGCCATCTTGGAAGAGATCTATCAAAGAAGGGGGGGTCGTATATTAGCGCTGCCCCTCCAGAGTGCTTCGAATCGCCTCTGAGGCCCTTCTTGAGGCCATAATTTTTCCACAACCTAAAGACAGTCAATGTTTTGTGCTTTTTCGTTTTTTCCTCTTGGAGGTCCTCTTGGGGCCTCTTGGGGCTTCTTGGGGGGTCTCTTGGGGGCCTCTTGGAGGCCTTTTTGGGGCCTCTTGGGGCCTCTTGGGGCCCTCTTGGGGCCCTCTTGGGGCGCTCTTGGGAGCCTTCGGGGCGCTCTTGGGGCCATGTTGGAGGAGATCTATCAAAGAAGGGGGGGTCGTATATTAGCGCTGCCCCTCCAGAGTGCTTCGAATCGCCTCTGAGGCCCTTCTTGAGGCCATAATTTTTCCACAACCTAAAGACAGTCAATGTTTTGTGCTTTTTCGTTTTTTCGCTCTTGGAGCCGTCTTGGGCCATCTTCGGGGCCTCTTGGGGCTTCTTGGGGGGTCTCTTGGGGGCCTCTTGGAGGCCTTTTTGGGGCCTCTTGGGGCCTCTTGGGGCCCTCTTGGGGCCCTCTTGGGGCGCTCTTGGGAGCCTTCGGGGCGCTCTTGGGGCCATGTTGGAGGAGATCTATCAAAGAAGGGGGGTCGTATATTAGCGCTGCCCCTCCAGAGTGCCTCGAATCGCCCCTGAGGCCCCTCTTGAAGCCCAAGTCCTTCCAAAACCTAAGGAAAGTCGATGTTTTGTGCTTTTTCGCTTTTTCGCTCTGGGAGCCGTCTTGTGCCATCTTGGGGGCCTCTTGGGGCCTCTTGGGGGGCCTCTTGGGAGCTTCTTGAAGGCCTCTTGGGGGCCTTTTGGACCCTCTTGGGGCCCTCTTGGGGCGCTCTTGGGGCGCTCTTGGGGGCCTTCGGGGCGCTCTTGGGGCCATGTTGGAGGAGATCAATCAAAGAAGGGGGGGTCGTATATTAGCTTTGCCCCGAGTGCCTCGAATCGCCTCTTGGGCCCCCCCAAGAGGCCAATTTTTTTTCCATATCTGAATTATTGTTGATTACCCCCCACCGGTGCATTTTGTTTTCTCGCAGTCAAAGTGTGCCCCTCGACGCTCGCACCTTGTTGTTGACAGGGGAAGTCTTGATGCTCAAACTGGGCCCCTGGCCCCCGGGTTACAACAACAAGGGCTCCCGCTTTAGATTTCCTCACAAGTTAGCCAGGACCCCCGCTCCCGCCCGAGACTTTCGCGCATTCCATTCAGGAATCGCGCTCTCGCTTGGGACTTCCTTACAATTTATTCAGGAATCGCTCCCCCGGCGCTCTGGAGTCGCGCTCTCGCTGGAGACTTGCTTGCAATTTACTGACGACGAGCGCCCTTGCGTTGGAATTTCGTGCAATTCACTCAAGCGCCGCGCTTCCAACACCCAGGCACCCAGGAGTCGCGCTCACGCTTAGGATTCCCTCACAGATTGCCTAGGAATCGGGATCTCGCTGCCCTTCGTGGCCCTGTTGCAGCCCTTCGAGGCCCCCTCGCTTTGTTTCGCGGCCCCGTTGCAGCCCCTCGTGGCCTCCTCGCTGCCCTTCGTGGCCCCGTTGCAGCCCTTCGTGGCCCACTCGCTTTGTTTCATTGCCCCGTTGCAGCCCTTCGTGGCCCCCTCGCTTTGTTTCGTGGCCCCGTTGCAGCCCTTCGTGGCCCCGCTGCAGCCCTTTCTGGCCCCCTCGCTGCCCTTCGTGGCACCATATATGTATGCCCTTCGTGGCCCCCGCTCGTTCGCGCCCGTGGTGGCCCCATATGCATGCCCTTCGTGGCCCCGCTGTCGCCCTTCGTGGCCCCCTCGCTGCCCTTCGTGGCCCCGTTGCTGCCCTCAGTGGCCCCGTCCTTGCCCTCCGCGGCCCAACATACGTATGCCCTCCGTGGCCCCCGCTCGTTCGCGCCCGTTGTGGCCCCATGTGCGTGCCCTTCGTGGCCCCGCTGTCGCCGTTTGTGGGCCCCTCACTGTCCTACGTGGCCCAGTTGCTACCCTCCCTCGTGGCCCCATCGTTGCTTCTGTGGCCCCGCATGATCTGCCCTTCGTGGCCCCTGCTCGTTCGCGCTCTTCGTGGCCACATACGCATTCCCACCGTGTCCCCGCTGTCGCCCTTCGTGGCCTACTTCGTGTCCTTCGTGGCCCTGCTGTCGTTCTCTCTCGCTCTCGCTTTCGCTCGTCGTCGTCGTCGTCGTCGTCGTCGTCGTCGTCGTCGTCGTCGTCGTCGTCGTCGTCGTCGTCGGTCCCCTGTCCGTCCCTCTTGGGGTCGGGTCGACGGTCCGCGGCCGCCCCGCCGATCAGCGCTGCCGCTGGCCAGGCCGACGGTCCGCGGCCGCCCCGCCGCTTGCCGGGGCCCGGCCTGCAGGGAAGAAAGGTATACCCCCCAAAATGGGTTCGATCGAAGACGAAGAGGGCGGGTATCGAGGGTTTGGGAAATACGCGTTATTGGACATTCGAGCCGATAGGGGCGAACAGTCTTAAACTGATTGTTGTTGTTGTTGATGCTGCTGCTGCTGCTGTTGTTGTTGTTGTTGTTGTTGTTGTTGTTGTTGTTGTTGTTCGTGCTAGTGCTGTTGTTGTTGTTGTTGTTGTTGTTGTTGTTGTTGTAGTTGGTTGTTGTTGGTTGTTGTTGTTGTTGCTGCTGCTGTTGTTGTTCTTGCTGCTGCTCCTGCTGCTGCTGCTACTGTTGTTATTATTGTTGTTGCTGTTGTTGCTGCTGCTGTTGTTGCTGCTGCTGTTGTTGTTGTTGTTGCTGTTGTTGTTGTTGTTGTTGTTGTTGTTGTTGTTGTTGTTGTTGTCGTTGTTGTTGTTGTTGTTGGTGGTGGTGGTGTTGTTTGTATGTTTGTTAAACGTATTTTTGACTATTTGGGGACAAATCCACCTGTATGGGGGACATGCCCGACCTAACGTAAGACTCGAGCAAGCCGGAACTCGGGTTTGCCGAGGTTTTTGACGAGCACGTGCTGGATTTTGACGTTCCAGTTTTGGTGGGATGTTTGCAGCGGGAGCTCGCGTCAAATTTCAGGTCGGGTCTTATCAGTTCCATGAGGGCCCCGCGAGGCCAACCCGAGTCCCCCGTACCCGAGTCTTACGTCTCCCCGACAGTGGCGTTGACATAATGAGCAGTTCGGGTCTGGGAGGGGCCCGTGGTTCTTTGGGTTCTTTTCCATGGCTGTTCCTCCTTCATCATCGTCATCATCATCATCATCATCATCATCATCATCATCATCATCATCATCATCATCATCAAAACCACAGTCATCACATCAAAACCACAGTCATCATCATCATCATCATCATCATCATCATCATCAGCAGCAGCAGCAGCAGCAGCAGCATCCTCGTGCACCCAAGCGCCTCTGGGGCCGAAAATAGGAGCCCGGTTCCGTGATCGGCGCTCCTCTCGCAGCTTGGTTGCACGGGGGGGGACGCGTGTGTGCCGCCCCCGCCCCGCGCGGCTCGTGCGAGCAGGGAGATCCATTTTCTCGTCCTCCCGTGGCGCGCAGAATATGATGAGCCCCCTGCCCGGCGCCGCATGCAGCTGCATAGGACTGAAGGTGGCTGGCCACTGCGCCGTGATCAGCACTCCCCAGTGCAGCGTCGCCTGACGGGTTACTTCCTGTCTCTTTCCTGGGAACATCGATTCGGATCCTTTTCGCCTGGTAAGTTTGGGCGCGTCTTGGCCGCGTGGCTCAGCTTGAAAGCTTCGACCCCGAAGCAGCTTCTCACTCCCACCATCGTGAGCAAGGATTCCAGTCCGCAGCCCAGTTGGCTCAGGGTGACCGCCCTTCAGTCGAGCCTTTCGGCTTAAGTCGGGCGTTTCCCTCTACAGGATGAGTATACAAAAATAGTTACAAATTAGTTTGGGGACGATGCTTCTTCTTTTTTGACTTTACTGGCGTATTCTTTGACTATATTTTTATTTTTTCGTCCAAAATCCGCCCGTAGGAGGACATGCCCGACCTCACTTTAGGCCTGACTGGCATTCTTTCTACGCGCCAGCCCGCGCTCTGCTCACTCAGAGCTGGACTGCCCAGGCCAATGGCTGACGTTGGGGTCCTTAACCATCTGGGGTGGACTGTCGTGCTCAGCATTATTTCCCTGGTCGGCGGGCTCATGCTGGCGACCTTGCTGTTTGTCCTCTACCGCTTCCACCACATCAGACAGCTGAAGAAGGTCAAGCCCCTGGCAAGCTTCGGGTTACCGCTGAGCTTCCATTCGCCCGACGACACCCCCCGCGAGTTCAAGCAGTTCCCATACCGCTGGTCCTACATCGGCCAGGCCCTGATGTACCTGTGGGCGTTGTACTTCGTCGTTGCGTACCTGCTGATGGCTGCGGGCTGCTGGTTCATCTACCCGTGGACGCAGAACAACGGGCTGGGGGCCCCCCCGCAGGTGCTGGCGGCATTCGGCGGCGGCGAGGGATTACAGGCCCCCTGGCTGCTCATCTACACCGTGTCCCACGCCATATGGTTCGTCATGATCCAGTCAGGGGATGCGCTGAGGGCGCAGTTCATGATCCCCGTGAAGGCGTTCGCGGACGCCACTCACGTCGTGGTGGAGGAGGATGCTGAATTCATCACGGACGACAACCTTGTTGACCCCGACATGGCCGGAGACGTTTTCGGCCAGGGAGTGGGCCATACGCTGTCGGAGAAGTACAACAAGCTCTCGGGAAAGCTCAAGCGGGTCGGGCAGAGGACCGTGATCCAGATCACGGTGGAGGGCGACGGCACGCGGCAGATCGAGTACACGTGCGTGCGGTATAGTTATGACGAGGACACCAATTGCTTCCAGCCTCGCGGCATCTCTGAGTACCGAGCGACGGAGGTGCACCAGGCATACCGTGCTGGAGGCTTGTCACATGACGAGGCGGCGCGGGTGCGCGCCGAGTGCGGCCAGAATGAGATAAGCGTGCACGTGCCCGGCGTGGGCGAGGCCTTGTTCGTAGAGTTCATGGACTTCACCAAAGTGGTCGCTTCCATGGGCACATGGGCCTACATGGTCTACAGCGCGGCCAACCTGGGCATGTTGTGGTTCGGCATCACCTTCTTCAGCGGAGCCTACAAGGCACTCTGCATCACGCGCCCCAACCAGATAGAGAACGCCGCGTTGGCCAAGCTGGAGACTGACTGCGAGGTCATGCGCCAGGGGAAGTGGAAGACGATCAGCGCCAAGGAGATCGTTCTTGGGGACATCATCCGAGTCGACGATAGCGGCGAGCCAAAGTTGCCGTGCGACGGCATCCTGATCGAGGGCTCCATCGTGACTAACGAGTCGATGTTGACGGGTGAGCCCATGCCTGTGCAGAAGCTGCCCGCCGAAGATTCGGAGTCTTGTATTCTCAACAAACGCAACATAGGCTACGCGGGGACCAAGGTCCTGCAGTCCAACGGCCCCGCCAGCGGAAAGGCGGTCATGATCGCAACCGCTGTCGGGGCCCTGACGACGCGGGGCCAATTGGTCAGGATGGTGCTCTTCCCGACGAGCGTCCGATTCAAATACCTCGACCAGCTTCCCTACGTCTACATGTCTTTGCTCCTGTACGTGGCAGTCCTGATCACTATCTACGTGTTCTTCGTTGACATTGGCAGCTGGGTCGGGACAATTCTCATTGTCATCAACACTTGCGCAATGACGCTGAATCCGATGCTGCCTGTGAGCATGGTCATTGGCCAAGCATCGGCGTCTGCACGTCTCAAGTCCAAGCTTGAGATCAATTGCTTGCAGCCTGGACGCATCCCTATTGCTGGCAAAATCTCCACCATGGTATTCGACAAAACCGGCACCATCACGAAGGAGGGTATGGACTTCACAGCGGTCATCCCCGTTACGGACAGGAAGTTCCAGTCCTGGGTCAGATTCAACAGTAGTGATCCGGAGAGCATTGAAAATAGGGACACTGTGGTCAATGGCGTGCCCACTCATCCAGTTGCCTGTGGCAAACCCGGCCTCCGTGCCGGCGTAGCGGCGCATCAGGGAGGAGGTTGCGTTTAAGAGCCGCTCCAGTTTAGTGCCCTGCCTGAGACGGCGTGGATCTTAAGCATCCCCCTCCATCAGGGTGGGGATATGGAGAGTCACCACCCACCAAACCACCCCAACCCAACTCGAAGGCTCAGATTTACCCTCGATTTCCAGTGGGGGGGGTGTCGGGAAACATCGAAAAACACATGTGGAACCCTTGCCCCCCCAACCCGAAATTCGGGTCTCCAGGTTGGGTTGGGGTGGTCTGGTAGGTAGTCAGAGGGGCGTTGCGACATCTGCTGCGTGAAGCTGGCCTCGGCGTCGCCGCGGGTCGCGCTCCTCGACGCACCGGCGCCTCGGGCGCAGGTGGGGGGGCAGGGCAAGCCAGGTTCGGACCCGAGGTCGTCTTCACGAAGCCACGCTTTACTAAAGGGGGCCCTGTCCATCCCCGACCGATATTCGGTCCTCGGGTCGGGCTGGGTCTGGTCGGCCTGGTCGGCAGTCGGTCGTCAGTCGGGCCCCGACGCGCCTTCCCGGTGATTGCTAAAGGTGGTCTGGTCGGCAGTCGGGCCCCGACGCGCCCTCCGGGGGGGGGCGGTCTTGCGTCCCCCCCCCCCCCCGATCTGTTCCCGGTGGCCCCGGGGGCCCGACCACGGGCCCCAATGGGGCAGGTCGGGCATGCCCTGCTGCCGTGGTGGAGGACGAGCAGATCGAGAGGACGCATGATGTTGCCAAGTCGTCTCCGGATGCCTGGGACACGTGTGAAACATGCTTTTCACATGTGAAACGCATGTTTTCAAACATGCGTAGAACATGTTCCGACACCTCAAACACGCTGTAAATTCAATGATAGGACTGTTGGGGTATCCACTGTCGTGGCATCCACCATCCCACGGGCGGGTTTGGGACGAAAAAGAAAAGATAGCCAAGAGCATACTCCAAGAGAGCCAGCAATGCGAGACGAAACGTCCCCAGACTATCTTTTGTGACTACTTATTGATGCCCCTCCTGTAGAGGGACAGGCCCGACTTGTCCCCAGAGGCTATTTTTTTTGTTTTTTTTTGTTTTTTGTTTTTTGTTAAAAAAAACTTTTTTTTGTTTCGTCGGAGAGCCGGGGACGGGCGTGGCCCCCGCAGCACGCCCCCCCGGACGCGGCACGTCACCGGGCGCGGGCCTGGGAGCGCACGTCCCCTCCCGGGCACGGCCCCGCGCCCGTGCGCGTCCAGAGTTATGTCGGGCGTGTCCCCCTACAGGGGGATTTTCGGTGAAAAAAATAGCCCCAAATGCACCAAAAAGGCAAAACGAATTCAAAAAATAGTCCCCAGACTATTTTTTGACTTTTTTGGATTATTTTTTGGGAAATTTTTATTTTTCGTCGAAAATCCCCCTGTAGGGGGACAGGCCCGACTTCAGTCCAGAGCGCACGGCAGGGCGGCACCCCGTCCCGAGGGCGCGGGGCGGCAGGGGGGGCTCCAGTCGGGCGTTTTGGCTCCCCGGGAGGAGGGGGCGCGCTGTTTTTTTTGTTTGGGGGGGGGGGGACAAACATCTGGAATTCCCGTTTTTTTGTTCAACTTCCTCGGTCTTGGAGCGGAAAAACGTGAGAAGGCGAAGAGCGTCGACAAGAACCACTGGAAAGCAACGATTTTACCCTCTTCGGGCTCACTCGTGACGGCTAGCGTGCCGCGCCGCTGGTTGTGGCCCACCATGCTTCGGAACGACACGCCGTCCACGGCCTAGATGCTCGTTTGGGGGACCTCTCAGGAGCCTACCTGACGGATCTGTTCGACTCTAGGTCGACCCCAGTTCGACTCAAGTTCGACTCAAGTTCGACTCAGGTTCGACTCAGGCTCGGCTCAGATTCGACTCAAGATCGACTCGATCCACGGACGTTCGACGCAGCTTCGGCGCACGAGCGGAGCGAGTGGCTCCAGGAAGGTCCCCAGAATGAGCAGCTAACACATCCCAGTCCCCTAGCGTGAATTTCCTGAGCTTTTCCCAGCCTCCCTGAGCCACTTTGGGGGCAGCTGCAGCCCACTTATCGGCCAGGTTGGGACAGATCTAACCACCTTGGCATCTGCTTACAGCCCTCTCTCCCCTCGGCACCCCCCGCGGTCATCCCAGTGGGCGGGCCGCCGAGGAGGTTGGGATTCCGCGACCATTTGCGAACCCTACCTTGAAGTCGGGCTTGTCCCTCTACAGGAGGAATATCAAACAAGAGTATACCAACAGTCTGGGGACGATTTTTCGGGTATTTTTGGACTATTTGGGAATATTTATTGACTACCTTTTTTCTCAAAATCTGCCTGTAGGAGGACATGCCCGACCTAATCCTACCTCTGCGGGTCCAGCCGACGCTGGGGTATCGGACACCCATGCTGGGGTTCACCTGGCGGTGGACATCTCTCGAATTCTGAACCTCGGCGGGCGTCTCAGAAGTCGGACCTGCGGGGGTTGGGTTCAGTTTCCGGACGACGTACGCGTCGAGGGGGGAGGGGGCACCCTTGGGAAAATTGCGGAGGCATTGCCAGGAAGCTGACAGGCATTCGAACACTCCGCTGTCGTGCAAGCACGGTGGCGTACCTCCGCCACGCCCTCGCGAGCTGCCACACCGTCACCAAGCTTGGCGACGGCATGCTGATCGGCAACGCTGTTGAGGTATCCATGGTGCGCACATGTGGCTGGGATCTGGGTGAGACCCGAGTCACTTCGCATAGTGGTGAGGCCCTGGAGATTGTAAAAAAGCTTGACTTCGACCACCACCGCATGACTAGCGGCGTAGTGGTGCGTAGGCTCGACACGAGGGAGCTCGAGGTCTACATCAAGGGCAGCTACGAGAAGGTCAAGTCGATTTCTGCACCAGATGCCGTGCCGCCAGACTACGATGCGGTGACTGCAAAATGTGCGAAAGATGGCTACTACACGCTCGGAATTGCAACGAGGACCTTGCCAGCAACGATGGATCCACAGGCGTTGAGAGACATGACCCGCGATACGCTCGAAGCAGGCCTGAGTATCTGTGGCCTCCTCCTCTTCATTAACGAGATGAAACCCGACTCCCCGTCGGCGTTTAAGGCCTTGGAGCAGGGTGCAGTCCGGTCCGTCATCTGCACCGGCGACAACGCCCTCACTGGGATCTCCATCGGTCTCAAGTGTGGCGTCGTGAAGGTGGTCGTTTTTGTATTCATCGTTTTGTCGATCGGCGCGGGCCCTCGCACCCCCTCTCCTCCCCTCCCCATGGAGTAGATCTTGACTGCTTTTGGCGCCTGTTTCAGGCGGGCGGAGTCAAACAGTCGCACTAAGCAGAGGTCCGGAGCCAGACTCCCCCTCCCTCCCCCCTTCCTTCCCCCCTATGTCGAAACGCCGAATACGAAAACGCTCACAAGACGTCCAGCGTGCTCCTGGGAGATATCGAGAGCGGGCAGCTGATCTGGAGGGAGTCCGAGAGCGACAAGATTGAGGATCCTGGCAGCAGCGAGGCCCAGCTGGCCGTGACGCACGCGGCGTGGCGGCACCTCCACGGTAACGAGGACCTGCTGCAGCACCTCTGGGCCAGGCTCGAGGGGCACGTTTTCCACCACCACTACCATATGTAGGACGGGGGGGAGCGGAGGACGAGAAGGTCCTCATCCTCCTCCTCCTCCTCCACCTCCTCCTCCACCTCCTCCTCCTCCTCCTCCTCCACAATTACTCAATATGAATACTACTCTCCCTCTTCCCCTGATGACGGTTTGAAAATATTAGCCCCCCCCCCCCCGCGTACTGTTTTTTACACACAGGATTCCCCGGAGTTGGGTTTTCGCTTGCATTTTTTTCCAAAATGCTACTCTCGCTGAGGCGCCGGCCTCATTTTCGGGCCCCGCTCGTTCCGAATCGTGCTCCCGCTGCAGCGCTGGCCTCATTTCCGTGCTTCCGCTCGCTCTGAATCGTGCTCCCGCTGCAGCGCTGGCCTCATTTCCGCGCTTCCGCTCGTTCCGACTCGTGCTCCCGCTGCAGCGCTGGCGTCATTTCCCGTGCCATGCCACGGCATGCAATGCGATGCTAGGTTGATACTACGCTTTGCGGTGCTCTTCTACGCCATGCCATGCCGTGCTCTACAATGCATCGCGTACCCTTTCGGGACCATTGCCCTGCTCGACATCCGACTGTGCGAGTAGAGAGGGGATCTACGCCATGGTAAGGGATGGGAGGGAGGGTAGGATGTCAGATATGACGCGAGCGCACCTAGCTTGTCCTCCTCCCCCTCCTCCTCCTCCCCCTCGTCTCTCCTCCTCCTCCTCTCCTCCTCCTCCTCCCCTCCTCCTCCTCCTCCTCCTCTCCTCCCCCGGCACCTCCTCCTCCTCCTTCGCCTCCTCCTCCTCCTCCTCCTCCTCCTCATTTGCCTCCTCCTCCTCCTCCTCCTCCTCCTCCTCCACCTCCTCCTCCCTCTCCTGCATGTAGTAGTGGTGGTGGAGAATAGGCCCATCAAGGATCGTTGTGTTCGCCCGCATGAAGCCCGATGACAAGATCAATGTTGTCACATGAGGCGTTCCAGAAAGAGCCTCGCCCTCGGCGGTCGCATTTTGTTGCCATCTCTGCCTCGGCAGAGGGCGGCGGAAGGCCACGGCAAGGCGGCGGAAGTAACACGAGGGCGGCTCCGCCGGCGGAAGCTGGCGGAAACAACAAGCATCTCCGACTTTGATCGTGAGCGCTGCGCACGTTCGCGGTAGTGTGTGTCTGCCCTCGCGAAATTTCCTTGGGAATGGGAGTAGCGTATGAAAAAAAAGGAAACAACAAGCGGCCTTCCGAGAGGTGGCAACATTTTGGGGTTCACGGTTTCTGGAACCCGCCACGTATCTGCAGAGCAAGAAGCTCGTGGTCGGCATGGCTGGCGATGGGGGTAACGACTGCGGCGGCCTTCGGGCGGCGCACGCAGGCATGGCGCTGTCGGACGCGGAGGCATCGATGGTGTCGCCGTTCTCCTCTGGCCGCGACGGCAAGTCCTTGATGACAGTGGTGGACATGATCCGCGAGGGCAGTCAGAGGAAAAGGTACACATACCTCTACCCTTCCCTAGTCTTCCCTTTTTGGGCCTCCTCGAAGGCCCTTGTCGCCACCGCTGGATTCGCTTCGGAGTCCCGGGAGAGGTCCGGGGAGTAGCGGTGTCGGTGCCTTTTGGTCTCCACAGGCAGGGCTTGCCTGTCGACCAACCTGGCCACATTCAGGTTCTTTATGGTCTATGGCTTCGTTCTGACCTTTGTGCGCACCTTCCTCCTGCTGCTCGGGAGCCTCAGCATGGGCGAGTTCGTATGGCTGACCAACGACATTGTTTTTGGAATCGTCATGGTCTCCTTGATGTGTCGATCCAAGCCCACCGATGCTTTATGCAGCTACAGGCCGACCGCAACGCTGTTCGGGCTCAGGACTTTGTCGGCCATCGCGTTTCCGGTCGTGTCTTCAGTTGTCTTTATGGCCATCTCCTACGCTGTGCTGTGGCAGCAGAGTTGGTACGTGTTCGTGAACGCCCTGACTGACTTGTCTATCCCAGGATACTTGTGGATGCTGAAGGGCGACAACTACGACTCCTCCATCGGGGTGGTATTCCTTTTGGCAGTGCTGTCGACCACCGCATTCGTCAACACCTACGGTGGGGATTTCCGCCAGAACATACGCCGCAATTATGGGATCTCCGTGGCCTATGCCGTCACGATGGCGGGCGTGTACATCATGATCCTGGCTCTCCTGGGCTAAAGATATATCCGTATCCGCGGCCTCGCGGGCCGGGCCCCTCGGTCGCGTATCCGTGCGGCCGCGCATCCTCAGGATGGAAAAAACACATACAGACACAATTAATCGTCGATTCCCCAGAAGATATGGGAAAATATGGTGGGAATTGGGGGGCAAGACAAAATTCATAAAACATGGGGAATCCTGTTATTTGTGTTTATTTATTTGTGTGTCCCAAGGCCTCTTCATATCCGAGGGATCGCGCCTCAGACTCCAGACCCCCAGGGCGTTGATACGGATATGCTCGCCGCTCGTGAGGCTCCGCCCTCTCAGTTCGGCTGCATCTACCGGGTCAACTGCGGCACCGAGCAGTCGCTGGCATCCGGGGGCCTCCTGCCCCTGAAGTGGTTCTCGAAGCTGGGCGGCGCGGGCCCGCGTGGGCGGAATCTATCTCTGGTTATCCTCGGCCCCGCGGGGCGGCCCCCTGGGCCGCGACCCCGTTGATACTGTCGTCGAGGACAAGAGAGCCCCCGGCACTGATACCATGGTTCAAGCAGTGGCGAAGCGTCCTGGTGTGCCTATAGGCCTACCAAACAATGTTTTGATAACCTTTTGTGGTTGCCACGAAACGTTCTTAGAACATCCCTGGCTGGGACTGTCTTGTTTTAACACATCGGGTTGATGTTCTAAGAACCGTGCTTTTGTTCTTAGAACATTTTTGTTTGGTTCTAGGAACGTTTCGTGGGAGGCCTATAAGCATGCCGGGACGGTTGGTTCCTGCTCAAATAGTAGAGATGTGGCCGCACTTAGGTCCCCGTCGTTGCATTCGTAGGGATCATATATTTCTGGGCGGTGTGGTCTGATACACCTGCAGAAAAGACCCTTATCCCTGATGGTTTCGGCCCTCCCAGCCAAGGTCCCCTCCCCAATGTGGTAGGGGGTCCTTCTATTGCCAATCCTACGGGGCGTTTTGCTTCCCTCGGATGGCCCGCTTGGTAAACATTCATGCCGCCGCGCACGTGTTTCGACAGCAAGTGCATGAACACCAGCGGTCGGAGCTCCGCCCAGATGCCTGGGATCTGCGCTGGGCCACACTGGCGGTGACCCTGGCGCCGCCACTGGCGCGCTCCGCGTGCTGGGGAGGGGGATCCAGCTCAGAGGCAAGAAGTTCGCGCGGACCTCCGAAAGTTCATTCTTATCAGTTTGTTCCTCTCTCCCCCGGGGCGCCACGGCGCTCGTCGGCCGTCCCTCAACCTGGCTTGTGGTGGTGGAGGAGAGAGCACGAGGGAAGAGGAGCAGACGGAGGAAGGCATGAGGAGGAGGAAGAGGAGGAGGAGGAGGAGGAGGAGGAGGAGGAGGTGGAGGACCAGTGGAAACCCAAGAGTCATAAACGATGTGGGAGTAAACCCTCCCTCCAAGCTCCCTCTTCATAGGCCCCTGCAACGGTTCACTCCGCTGAGGGAATTGCCTCGTTGGAAGACAACCGTTTGAAGACCCTGAAGCATACCAAAACATTGTTCTCGGGATTCCAACGCCACGGATTAACCTGATTTTTGCGTCTTGACGACCTTGGGTCGTGCCAAAACACCGTTCCCGGCACTTCAACACCGCGAATCAGCGAAACTGTTGCACCCTCATAATCCTGAATCTTTTCAAAACGATATTTTGGTTGGTTGATCGTGGGAACCCGTGAATCTCTTTCAAATAAAAACCGAATGTTCGCGGCGCTATGGCGAGAGCCACATTCTGAAAAGCAGCCGCCTTCAATTCTTGAAACTCTTGCAATTGTTCAAACGGATGTGCGCGGTGCTAAGGCGAGAACCACATGTTGAAAACGACCCGCCCTCAATCCGTGAGCCAGGCGAGAGCCACATGTTGAAAACGACCCGCCCTCAATCCGTGAGCCTCTTGCAAATGTTAGGAAACGAATGTGCGCGGCGTTGAGGCGAGAGCCACATTTTGAAAAGGATCCGCCCCCTATCCGTGAAACTCTTGTAATGCTTTAAAAGCGAATGTGCGCGGCGATAAGGCGAGAGCCACATGTTGAACACTACCCGCCCTCAATCCGTGACACCTTTTCAAACTTGTACATCGAATGTGCGCGGTGCTAAGGCGAAGGCCACATTGTGAAATCGACCCGCCCTCCACCTGTGAAACGTTTGCCAGTTTTTCCTGTCCATCCTGTGGTGTTGGGTCTTCGTTTTGAAGAGACAGCGCCCCGCGTTCCTTCCTTCTTTCCCCTCCTCCCTCTTCCCATCCCTGCATCTTCTGTGTTTCGGCACACCACTCACACGTTTCATGGCCCCATAACCAGCTCCACCGAGGGTATGTGGGAAAGGGCGCGTTGTGTGGTCGCTTGGAGGGGGGTGGGGTTGGAACCGGACCCCCCCCCCTGGGTGGAGGGGGGGGGTTCGAACCCCTCCCCCCCGCCGCTCCCCTACCTCCCTCTCCTCTCTCCTCGGGCCAGCGCTTGCGTCGGCGGGCGGCTGGCGGCGGCGCCGGGGACGACGATTTTTCCTTTTCTGGGCCGGCGCCGGCGCCTGCGGCGGCGTGCGGCGGCGGCGGCGGAGAGCGTCGACGAGGACGGTGGTGGTGGTGGTGGTGGTCGTGGGTTGTCGTGGTGGTGGTGGCGGTGGTGGTGGTTGTGGTGGTGGTGGTGGTGTGGTGGTTTGTGGTGGTGGTGGTGGTTGTGGTGGTGGGTGGTGGTGGTGGTGGTGGTGGTGCTGGTGTGCTGGTGTGGTGGTGGTTTGTGGTGGTGGTGGTGGTGGTGGTGGTGGGTTGAGGTGGTGGTGGTGGTGGTGGTGGTTTGGTGGTGGTGTGGTGGTGGTTTGTGGGGGTGGTGGTGGTTGTGGTGGTGGTGGCGGTGGTGGTGGTGGTGTGGTGGTTTGTGGTGGTGGTTGTGGTGGGTTGTGCTGCTGGTAGTGGTGGTGGTTGTGGTGGTGGTGGTGGTGGTGGCGTGGTAGAATGTGTGGTGGTGGTCGGAGGTCGGGGGGTGAGATCGAAGTGGAACGGAGAGCCCCCCTACCGGGAAATCGATTTCGGTTTCGTGTTCGTGCGTGCCGTGCGGGTGAGGCGAAGCTGCGTGGGCGGGCGAGAGAAAGTCTCCTGTGGCTGAGGCGCGGCCGGACCCAATGATTCCCTTCCGGGCGGCCGGGGCCCCGCGGTGTCCCGCCGGTGTCTCGCTGGTGTCCCGTGTGGCTGAGGCGCGGCCGGACCAAATGACTCCCTTCCGGGCGGCCGGGGCCCCGCGGTGTCCCGCCGGTGTCCCGCGGTCCCGCGGTGTCCCGCGGTGTCCCGCAGTGTCCCGCGGTGTCCCGCCGGTGTCCCGCGGTGTCCCGGGAGGATGATGATGATGATGATGAGATGATGATGATGATGATGATGATGATGATGATGATGACGATGATGATGATTATGATGATGATTATGAGATGATGATGATGATGATGATGATGGTGTCCCGATGAAGATGATGATGTTGATGATGGTGTCGATGATGATGATAGTGTCCCGATGATGAGGATGATGATGCTCATGATGATTATGTTGATGATGACGATGATGGTGTCCCGATGATGATGATGATGATGATGATGATTCCGATGATGTTGGTGATGATGATGTTGATGGAACTGGTGTCCCGGCGATAATGATGTTGATGATGATGATGTTGATGATGATTATGGTGTCCCGATGACGATGCTGATGATGATGATGATGATGATGATGATTCCGATGATGTTGGTGATGCTGATGGTGTCTCGATGATGATAACAATGATAATGACGATGTTGATGATGCTGTTGCTCATGATGATGATGGTGCCCCGTTGATGATGATGTTGTTGATGATGATGCGATGATCATGATGATGATGGTGTCCCGTGGATGATGACGATGTTGATGATAATGTTGATGATGAGAACGATGGTGATCATGATGGTGTCCCGATTATGATGATGATTCTGATGATGCTGCTCATGATAATGACGATGAGTGTGCCCGAATGATGATGATGATGATGATGATGATGATGATGATGATGATGATGATGATGATGATGATGATGATGATGATGATGATGATGATGATGATGATATGATGATGGTGATGGTGATGATGATGGTGTCCCGATGATGGTGCTGACGTTGTTATGAGATGATGATGACTGTGCCCTCATGATGATGACGATGTTGGTGATGATGTTGATGTTGATGATGTTGATGATGATGATGATGATGATGACGTTGATTGTGAAAGCGATTGTGATATCGATGGTGAGATCGATATTGAGACCGAATGTGAGATCGATTGTGTAATCGATTGTGAGATCGATTGTGAGATCAATTGTGAGATCGATCGAATGAGATAGATCGAGTGAGATCGATCAAGTGAGATCGATCGAGCGAGACCGATAGTGAGATCGATACTGAGATCGATAGTGAGACCGATTGAGTGAGACGTTGGTTCCCCCCCCGAACCTCCTTATCACCCGAAGGGTGGTCGTATAGGTAGTGTTTTTTTTTTGGGTGGTGGTGGTGATGGTGAGTTGTGGTGGTGGTGGTGGTTGTGGTGGTGGTGGTGGTGGTGCGTGGTGGGTTGGTGGTGGTGGTGGTGGTGGTGGGTTGAGGCGGTGGTGGTGGTGGTGGTGGTGGTGGTTGTGGTGGTGGTGGTGGTAGTGGTGGTTATCGTCGCTGCGTCCCCGCCGTCGCCGGCGCCACCGCCAGCGCTTCTGGCCGCCGCCAAGGGGGGTGGTTGACCCCCCCTCCCTTGGGCTGCCTCTGGTCATCGTCGCTGCGTCCCCGCCGTCGGCGCTGCTGGCGGCCGCTGGCGCCGGCGCAAAGGGGGGTTGAACCCCCCCACCCCCCCCCATTGGGAGGGGAGGGGGGGGGTTTTGGGAGGGGGGGGGTTGTGGGGGAGGGGGGTCCTTCTGGTTTTGTCGGGGGTGGACAGAACCCCCAACAGTGACACGTCGATTGTTGAATTGTCCGTTTTCGGTTCTCGAGATGG